AATATTGTGCAGCCTGATCATCAGATACAGTAAGTTGTAAGTACTCTGTATTCATACCTTTTTTTAAAAAACTAGTATATTCATTTTCTGTGGCCTAAGTGGAAAATTTCTATCAATAAGGTGTCGCCGAAGGCACCCAAAAAGTCTAAAGCCGACATGGCGTCGCCGACAGGTAAGTCGGTGGCGGCATCGGCCGATGATTTTGAGACGTTCACAACAAGCGTTAATAATAATACGGTGAAAAAACCCAGAAGAGCGAACGATTTTTCAATAAATGAAAAAGTTCATGAAAGCTTAATTTCAGAAAGTATTAACAGTGAGTTAGTCAAGAAAGTTGACTTAGTTAGCAAAAACGCGGGAAACGAGGACAAAATGGAGGTCGAATCCATTGCGGTAGTTGAGAGTGCTGGTGTTAGTGCTAGTGCTGGTGCGAATATTAAGGCGAATAGTAATGCGAACAATAATGCGAATGTGCATGAGGGAGAACGTGCTTCACACGGTTACCCAGAAAATTTCAAAGGTACCTTCTTTGTATTGGTCGATGCCACTGAATGCAAAGAAATTTGCAATGATAGAATTAAAACTGGCTTGGCGCTTAGAAGCCGAATTAAAGACTTAAACTTCTCTGACATTGATCTCATTTTTGCGGTTGGCAAGACACTATTCAAAGTAACCTTTAAGACTGCAGCGGCAGCAAACAAATTTTTATCTTGTGAAGACTTAAAAAAACGTGGGCTGCGACCTTTCGTTCCCAACACAGCGTTTGAATCATATGGAGTGATTAGAGGTGTCCCTCTAGAATATGATGTGAATGACATTAAAAAATATGCAAACTCTAGTGTCCCGATTTCTTCTGTGTATAGGTTTACACGTAGGGAAAAAAAAGCGACAATGAAGATATGTCCATACCGACTACCACTATCAAAGTTGGCTTCTTAGGAAAAGACATCCCGAAGTTTATTAAGTACGAGTACACCAGGCTAGAAGTTTCTTTTTATATCCCTCCTCTAAGGCAGTGTAGGAAATGTGGCAGGCTTGGACACACGCAACTAGGATGCAAATCAAAGAGTAGATGCCTCAACTGTGGCAATCAGGAATGTAATAATGCTTGTAATCAACCAGGCTGCATTCTCTGCGGTAAGGAGGATCACAACTCCAAAGACAAGGAAAAATGTGGGACATGGCAAAGGGAGCTCATGATCAGTCGCATTAGGGCGGTTAAAAAACTTTCTAGAAAAGAAGCAATTGATACTTATTACCCGAACAGAAACAACAGGTTTGACATTTTAGACAATGATCAAGATGAATTCCCTCAGTTAAGTGCGGAAGAAGTAATAATGGACAAAAACCAGTTTATTAATAGAAGAATGACTAGGGCGAGCTACAGCAAAGTAGCGAAGATGCCTCAAGTAGTGGAACAGGCGCACTTTAGACGCAACTTGACATCAAGGCAGGCGGTGGTACAGCCTGTATATGAAACAGCAGAATACAGTAAAAATAGGGTTACAGAAATGGAAAAATTATTATCCGAAATCTTCAAAATTACACAAAAATTGTGTATTGAACACAATCTAACTTTAGAGCTTCAAACAATTCAAAACTTAAAATCCAAATATGATAGCACAGTCATTGATGACGAGATAAGACAGATAAGGGACAGAAATCCTAAACCTAATGAAGATTCTTCAATATAATATACAGTCGCTTAATGCTAATTTACATACCTTAGAATTTTATCTCAACAACTACAATTATGACATTGCAGTACTCAGTGAAACTTTTTCACATCAGGGGTCAAAACCAAAAAAAATATTAAATTTCAACTCAATATCGAAAAACAGACAAGATGGCTATGGTGGTGTCGCCATAGTATTTAAAAAAGATATCAAATTTATTAAAATTAGTTATATCACGCAATATGATATTCTAATAATCCAGTCGAGAAACCTAAGACCAAATGTGGTGATCTGTGCAGTGTACTTTCCCCCAAACATACCCATCAATGTGTTCAATGATGAGATCAAGAAATTGTTTGTTGTGCTTGAAAACTATACAAATGTATTACTATTGGGCGACTTCAATGCTAGGGCAACTCAGTGGGGTGACACAGTTAACTCATGTAGAGGAAAAAATTTATACAGCATTGTTCAACAAAACAACTTTATTAATTTAAATGATGGTTCCATCACTTTTCAAAGAAATGTTAACCAGGTAGCAGGGTCAGTGTTAGATCTCTCATTTACCAACACAAGTTTACAACTACAATGGTCAGTCGATCCTATTAGAATAGGAGGAAGCCACCACTTCCCTATCACCATTAATACACAAACAGTGACCAAGGGACAGAACACATTTATAGCTCAAAACAAATTACATGAGGCACTCAAGAATGTGCAAACAGAACCTGACATACCAAATATTGAAAACATGATAAAAAAAGAAATACAAAACGCGACCTACTGTCTAAGTGGTGATAAAACACCCAAAGCCTGGTGGAATAAAGAGTTGGAGAAGACCTTTAGGTTACTTAAAGTAGCTCAATATAAATGCAGAAGGTTACCTTCTGTAGAAAATCTTGATCAGGTAGCGGAAACAAAAACTTTATGGAAAAAAATGGTTAAGGAGGCAAAGAAAAAGAATTTTGAGGAGAAAATTAAAGAAATAAACTTTCAACCCACAACAAGATCTGCATGGAGGTTCGTAAAGGCCTTGAGAGGGGACTATCAGGACAGCAATAATACGCACTGGCCCAAAGAAGACAACGTAAACTTTTTAAACATGCTTAAACAGCAGGTAGCTTCCAGTGAAGTATCACTGGAAAGAAATAAGGAAATTACTCCTGACTGCAGCTTAGCGATAACTTACGAGGAGTTAGTGGAGACATTAAAGAAAAAGAACAACAACTCGGCAGGTGGCTATGATAGAATCACCTACAAGATGATTAAGTCACTACCTGACAACACTCTTAACAACTTACGCACCGCACTGAACGATGTCTTCCTCACAAATCAAATTCCTGACAACTGGAGAACAGTAAAGGTCGTACCGATCCCAAAAAGAGACAAAGACTTGAACGATTTTAGAAACTTTCGCCCAATCGCGCTGATATCTGTCTTACTGAAATGTGTTAACAGCTGCGTTAAAAATAGAATAGAACAATTTCTTGATTCGAATAACATCCTTCCCCACACAACTTTTGCATATAGAAAGGCACATTCAGCTACCATGGCAGTAAACTACCTAATTCAGGAACTGACCATTAACAAACAAAAAGGCCGGAAAATTATTATCTGTTCCATTGACATCAACAATGCCTACAATTGTATAAATATCACAAAACTAGCTTCTATATTAAATAACATAGGGATTCATGAAAACTATACCGAATGGATAGTAAACTTTCTAGCTTTCAGGAAACTCACACTGGCAGGAGAAACCACGGATATCAATGGTGGTTTACCCCAGGGCAGCTGCCTGTCCCCGTTGCTATTCAACATTTACACTATGCAACTACATTCAATTAAGGACCAACACACAGACATTTGTCAATTTGCAGATGACTTTATAATCGCCTCATATGGCGATACTATTGAAAATGCTACACACAGATTGCAGGAGAAGATTGATCAGTTTGGCAATGAATGCTCAAACCTAAACCTCACATTCAATCCAACAAAAACCAAGATCCTATTTGTTAGTAAAGGTAGCTCCAAACAAATAAACATTAACTACAATAACGTTCGGATAGAACAATCAAATTCAATAAAATTTCTAGGAAGAAACATTAATTCGTCACTCACGGTCACAGAACATTACAATAATGTTATTAAAGAATCTGCAAACAACTCCAAACTGTTCAAACTAGTTACAACAGTCAAAGCGGGACTGCAACCCAAGGTTGCGACCCAATTCTACAAGGCATTTGTTCGGTCCAAAATTGAATACTGCAGAACCTCCACAGCTAATAGCAGCAACACCACCAATAAAAAAATTAGAACTTTTCAGAACAGTTTTTTGAGGAGAGCACTGGGTGTAACCCCGGCCACACCAATTCCTACCTTGTATGCGGTTGCAAACGAACTACCACCCCTGGAGAGAGCCAAATGGCTTACTGCCAAGGAAATAACCAAAATACTAGTATCTGACAACCCCTTCAGACTGTCCATCATCAATAACCCCAGCATTAATACCAGCTACAGCAAAGTATATGCTGAATTCAAATCCTTCTTTGATCGCCTTGGTGCGGCTGATCATGAGCCCCTTCCAGAAAACCTAATTGTCAAAACAAATATGTTACCTAATACTAAACAAAATACGCCCAAAGAATGTGCCTTAATGATATACAAACAAACTGTAAGCGACTACACAAATAGCAACTTTAAAATATTTTTCACAGATGCATCTGTACAAGATGATTGCACAGGATGCGGTATATACGACTTTTCTGCAAAAAAAGAATATGCATTTAAAATTAGCTTTAAAACGTCCTCCAGCTTTGGTGAAATCCAGGCCATTAAAAAAGCCATTGAAGTGGCTATTAACATGAAATATGAAAAAACTGTGATATTTACTGACAGTTTAGTAGCTTGCCAACTACTAAAAAAAAAAACAGACTGACAACTTTAATGTAGGAGAGATACATAAATTAATAAATAATAATGACATAAGGGTACACTTAGTCTGGACCCCTGCACATATAGGTATAGAAGGGAATGAAAAGGCTGACCAAATAGCCAAATCAGCTACTACAGCATCACTAGTGCTGCAAGTCAAATTATCTATCAAGGAAACCAGCAGACTAATTTATAATCACATTAGACAAAGTTGGTACAATGAATTTATACATTTTTCTAGTCAAAAACCAAACCTATTTGCTAAGATTTTCGCGAAACCAGAAAAAAAGCCATGGTACAACAAAAGCCCTCTCTCCCCCAAACAAACCAAGATTATTAACAGAATACTAACCGGATATACATACGATCAGGCCTATTTTTACAAAATAAAAATCGTTCGCTCAGACAGATGTAGCTGTGGTCTCACCAGTAGCTATGAACATCTCACGTTGCACTGTGAGAATCTCAAAAACATCAGGGACAAATATCCGGCAATTAAAGATTCGAATGATTTTTCACAAATTTTTCAAGGTATGAATTTTGACAGAATACTTCAACTTATTGAGTTTATAGAAGAAGCACAATTGAATTTTTAAGTAACTTTAATTCTATCATACATTGATGATAGGCTTTGCCTACTCTAATGCTCGCGACTTCACGGTCCAGCCTTCTCTACGCTATCTCGGTCTAGGGTCATACAGACCTTTCGTTTTAAAACAAACACACATCTACAAAACTATCTCGTCATTCTAAACGAACGCGTTTATCACATCTGAGTTGGCAACACGGGTTTCATTTACGGCACCGATTGACAATTACATCGCTCAACAAAAGCTGCACCTGGAATAAGCTGCTCAACTAACAAGGACTGGTGGACACAAGTATTCACCAACTAGTGGAATAACCTGGCGTTTGCGAGCTGACCGCTCTGCCATCACACTCAAATCACAAAAAAAAAAAAAATGAGCTTCTCTTCATTATTTTCCCACATTCTTCACACTTCACCGGCTCAGACATGTCCTTGACTTTCTTTTTTGTTTTCACCTCGGATTTTACTTTGTTTGTTTTCTTTACGTTTTTAGGTCTTGTATGTGCAAGATTGAGTTGTTTACTTTTTTTCGATAAGACCAGCCCAGCTTCATTTAAGTTATTGCCGCTCTGCATATCCTTATCCGATTCAACTAGAAACTTTGTTGTTGTTGTAGTGTCAGTACTAAGTTTTTTATCAATATTTATTTCGTGTTCGATATCATTTGATGGAGATGTTTCATCATCATCCATAAAATGTTCATTCCATTCTGGTGATACCTTTATATCCTCTACGTGATCCTTGTAAACAAATAGAAAATAATTATTGTTTAATTATATCTAAATCGTATTTGATATACCATATCTACAGTATCTGGCATCTTAGTTACTTCCATTAGCTCTTCATGTACTGGAACCCATTCAAAAGTGTTGGCTATACTTTCTATCTTCACTTTTTCCGTTTGTGTGCAACGTAATTCATTATCAGCCCTTCTCGCCTTTTCAATAAAATCATAAACGTCTTTAAGTTTTTGGGCACAATCAAGGCATAGATATTGCATCCGGGCATCATCGAGTTCATTTGGATCATCTTTCAAACTTAAATTAATTTGTGTACATTTACAAAAACACTCTTTGTATGATATATCCAAAGAGTCAACATGCTGATGCCAATCTAGCAGATGCACCCGATCTTCCGGCGACAAACAGGCACGGCATATATTTGATAAATCCATCTGAACTTTTCACCACTGCCGTATTGATAATTCAAGTCTTAGTCGGTAAAAAATAGTTTTGTAGAATGTGTGATTATATAAGACAGAACAATTTGAAAATAGGGATGTCGAAAATATTTCGATATAAAAAATGGTACAATTTTAATGCTTTTAAAAGTCGACTGTCCGACAAATAGATTTCTTCGGTAGATATAGTGATGTTCCGATATCAGTGAAAACTATCTCCTGAAATTGAATCAAAATAAATTAAAATGTACTTTAATAAATTTAAGGAAAAATATTGTGGCATAAATGTAGAATACCTACAATTCTCAAATTAAACAAAATCATATTGGGATCGATGGAGATCATTGAGGTGAACGTAACGATATATATATTTTTTTTGGGAAACAACAACTACAACAATTATTAAAAGTCAAAGTTCAAATTAAGCATGTTTTTTAATTAATATATCTCGAGAACCCCTCCAAGGATTTGGAAAATTTGATGTCATTTGATAGAGAATTTAATTCTCTTTAATTTGATATACATATTAATACATACATATATCTTTTATAGTATTCACAAAAATATAATTAATGTGGAATTCTACTTTGTGAGGGTTATAATCCATAAGTGCGGCCGAAGGCCGCCTACGCAGAAAGGCGTTCTCTGCAAAAGGTGTTCAGTGCCTTTTCTTCGCAACACAGAAAAGAATTCTACTTTGTGAGGGTTATAATCCATAAGTGCGGCCGAAGGCCGCCTACGCAGAAAGGTGTTCTCTGCAAAAGGTGTTCAGCGCCTTTTCTTCGCAACACAGAAAGAGAATTCTACTTTGTGAGGGTTATAATCCATAAGTGCGGCCGAAGGCCGCCTACGCAAAAAGAAGTTTATACACAAAAACCCTGTATACTTTTTTTCCACATTAATTCGATTTTTGTGAAAACTATAAAAAGGTATCAATTATATAAATAGGCAATCATGTTTCTTTTACACCCCTTTTACGGCTAAACTGTACTTCTAAGGTATAAACAATTATATATCATTAGAAAGGTATTTTGATGCTGATGTGCAGGCAATTTTTAAAATTTCAAATTAGTTTAAAATAGAGCGAAAAAATCAATTCAAAAGTCACACCAATACCAATGGCATACATGTACATGGTTGGGGCGGAAATGCCTCCTAAATGTATGCTTTAATATTGATAGTGAGTTAAAGAAACGTGCTAAGCAGCAGTTTAGGAATAAGATGTATGTATGTATGTACATGAATAGATTAGCCTCAAACAAGGATGAAGATAATTTTGAGTATGGAGAAGAAGAAAGGGATAAATACAGAAATTAAAATAAAAGTAAAGAAACCTAAATATAAAGACAAAGAGGAAGGAAAATTTAAATACCTAACCTAATAACAATGGTGGGGGTGAATATGTAAATGAAGAAAAGAATGGACATATTTAGATCAGGATAAAGGAAAGGATAAAGATGAAGAAGAAGATGAAGACCAAGACGAGGAAGAAGATGAAGATGAATATGAAGATAAGGATAAAGATAACTTATCTTAACTTAACCCCTTAACTTAACTTAACTCACCTCAACTCATCTCACCTCCGCTTAAAAACTTACTCCACCTGAGTTCGCTACACATTAATTCACCACACCTTAACTCCCCACACCTAAATCCACCACTACTTCACTCCCCACACCTAAATTCACCACACCTAAATCCACCACACTTTAATTCACCACACCTTAACTCACCACACCCCAACTTTCTCACCACATCTTAACTCACCACACCTTAATCTACCACACCTTAATTCACCACACCTGAACTTTCTCACCACACCTTAACTCACTCCACCTTAATTCACCACAACTAAATTCACCACCCCTCTTAAGACCACCACACCTGAATTCATAACACCGTAACTCCCACACCCAATTCCACCACACTGCAACTCACCACACCCAATTTCAACACATGGCATGATATCACTAAAGAAACAATGTAAAGAAAAAGAGGAAGGAAAATTTAACTACCTAACCTAATAACAATGGTGGGGGTAAATACGTAAATGGAGAAAAGAATGAAGATATAGATCAGGATAAAGGAAAAGATAAATATGATGACGAAGGTGAATATGAAGACGAAAATGAAGATGAAGATGAAGATGAAGATGAAGATGAAGATGAAGATGAACATGAACATGAACATGAACATGAACATGAAAATGAACATGAACATGAACATGAACATGAACATGAACATGAACATGAAGGTGTAGATAAACATAAACATAACCATAAACATTAAAAGCGATAGAGACAAAGATAGAGAGGAAGAAAGTGATAGGGATAAAAAGGAAATACAACTGAAGAATGTGCGTGTTATATTGTGATGTGTTATGCTACATATGTTATGTTATTGAATCTAATGCTATTCTATGTTATGTTATGCTAAGTACTAAGCTAAACTCCCCTCCACTTAACCCATTCCAACAAATTTTATTTCAGCTCAACTCAACTCACATAATATTTATCCTTAATTTTAGCGGTTGAATTTCAACCGCTGGGCGAACACTAGTATGTATAAATATGTATATCAAATTAAAGAGAATTACATTCTCTATCAAATGACAACAAAATTGTCCAATTCCTTGAAGAGGTTTTCGAGAAATATTAATTTAAGAAAATGCTTAATTTGAACTTTGACCTTTAATAATTGTTGTAGTGTTTGTTTCCCAAAAAAAAAAAAATATACCGTTATGTTCACCTCAATGGTCTCTATCAATCCTATTTTGTTTTTTTTAATTCGAGATTTGTAGGTATTGTGCATTTGTTCCAATATTGTTATAAACTTACAAATTGGTCATAGGCAAAAGATTGTTTCTTTTGTTTACTTTTTACCGCTCTTCTTCTGCCATTGTTTACTATTCACGGTGCATTATCAAACGTCAAAATTACTGGCCTACTACTATTTCAAGCAGAAGAAAGAACACGAACATTTTCTTGTGCATTTTCTTAAGAGCTGGATACTAAAGCCATGTATGCAGCTCTCAAGAAAACGGTCAAGAAAAAATTGCCATTATTTCGTGTGTGTGTCCAAGGAATTTTGACATTTTTGATACTTCACAGCCTGTTGCCTCACTCTTTCCGCAAGAAATAATGGAGCGGGCATATTGTGGCGAATACTGCGGCAACACAAAGCGAACAACGAGAAATAGGCTGAATGTTCGAAGAATGACGTAG